AGGGGAGGCTTAAAAACGAAATAAATAAAAAGGAAACACAACAATATAAATAAAAAAACACCCCCCCCTTCCGTGGGTTTTCGTGTGGTTTATTTTCAGCAGCAAACGTAGCGCTCTGTCAGGGACAAGGATAAACTGCCCTAGTTTTTGTGTGTGTGTTTTTTTCTCCCTGGAGAGCTGAACGCTTTTATAAAAAAACAAAACAAAAAAAGGAATGAAAAACACGGGTTTCCGTCTGCCCTTAAATCTGGTCCCCGCACGGAGGGCTCTCAGGGAATCCGGGAACTCGATGTGAATGGCTTGGACGCACCGGCTCCTCTGGGTCCCGCACATGGACACGCCCCTGGACACCTGGGTTCGGCTGCTCGACGTGACAGAGATTTATTGGGGATGCTGGAGGGCTGCGTGGATGTACACACAGAATTCACACCAGCTGGACCCAACCGAGTATTTCATTTTTTTTTTAAGGGTTTAAAACTATATTTCGATTGATTTCAGAGAAGAAGGGAGACGGAGAGAGAGAGAAACATTTGTGATGAGAGAGAATCACGGGTCAGCTGCCTCCTGTACGGCCCCTACTGGGGACCGAGCCTGCAACCCGGGCATGTGGCCTTGACGGGGAATCGAACCCAGGACCCTTCAGTCCGCAGGCCGACACTCTATTCACTGAGCCACACTGGCCAGGGCTGAATAACCACTTTGTAGAATAAATTCTGTGAGGTACATCGTGCTTTTTCTCTTGTGTTTAAGTGATTTTTTTTTTTTTTAAATCACAAGAAAAACAGTTTCCAACCGATTTGACTTGGAAAAGAGGCCGGATTTTGGAGGCCCTGTGGGTTCAGCATCGGAACGGCCGCATCCCCTGGGAGTTCTGTCCGACCAGATGGTTTGTGGGTTCGCACGTGCGTTTCCTGGGAATAGTCACCTACTTAAAATCCTGCAACTGCTTCTGGACCCAAGAATCTACCTACCGTCCCAGGTAAACTTTATCTGTAAAATCATGTTGACATCCCTCTCGCAGTCCGGGACCGCTGGCTCCTAACCACTCGCCTGCCGGCCTGATTGCCCCTAACCACTCTGCCTGCCAGCCTGATCGCCCCTAACTGCTGTCCCCTGCCAACCTGATCTCCCCTAACTGCTCTCCCCTGCCGGCCTGGTTGCCCCTAACTGCTCTCCCCTGCAGGCCTGATCGCCCCTAATTGCTCTCCCCTGCCGGCCTGATCGCCCCTAACTGCTCTCCCCTGCCGGCCTGATCGCCCCTAACTGCTCTCCCCTGCCGGCCTGATCGCCCCTAACTGCCCTCCCCTGCCGGCCTGATCGCCCCTAACTGCCCTCCCCTGCCGGCCTGATCGCCCCTAACTGCTCTCCCCTGCCGGCCTGATCGCCCCTAACTGCTCTCCCCTGCCGGCCTGATCACCCCTAACTGCCTCCTGCACGCCTCCTACTGGGGATAGAGCCCGCAACCCAGGCATGTGCCCTGAGCGGGAATCCAACCGTGAACCCCTCCTTCATAGGTCGACGCGCAACCACTGAGCCACACTGGCCGGGCTCTAAGGAAGGATTTTGAGCTCACGCGGCATCCCTCTCACCCCTAAGAATTTTGGAAAGCGTTCCGGCATGCAGTCCGGTGATAACTGACTGTCTCCTCGCAACGTGGACCTGAGATGACGCCAGCCGCCTCGCCCAACGACCGTGCGTCTTCTCCGTGTCCTCTAGCGGACAGGTAACCCCGCCGCGCAAACGAGACTCGCCCTCTCCGACCGCACCTCCGCCGGCTCAGCTCCTCCCACGGCTCCCGGCACAACGCGGGCGACGGCGTGAGCAGCCTGCAAACCCAGCAGCTCTCGTTCCCGCTGCTGCCCCCGGTAGGTGTGCAGGTCGGACTTCCAGTTCCCTCTTCAGAAGCTAAGAAAACCATCCATGTGGTTCACCAACACGTGCCCACCCACCCGGGCACGGGGGATGCCACGGAGCAGCCGCTCAGTCAGCGCCGGTGGAAGCATAAATGCGGGTGAAGCTCCATCACTAACCAGAGCCATGGGGACGCCAGGGCAGCGGCCACGGCTCCTGAGTGTCAGAGACACCCCGACAACGAAATGAGACGCGATTCAGAACATCCTGGGTGGCCGCGACCCTTTAGCCACTCCAGCCTTGAGCCACCGTGACTTGGTGAATCCTCACCGAGGATACTTTTGCATTGATGTTTAGAGAGAGAGTGGGAGGGAGGGGGAGAGACAGAGAGAGAGAGAGAGAGAGAGAGAAGCATTGATGTGAGAGAGACACATCCATTGGTTGCCTCCCACGTGTGCTCCTACCAGGGCTGGGGATCGAGCCTGCAACCGAGGGACGTCCCCTTGACCAGGAATCGAACCCGGGACCCTTCGGTCTGCAGGCCGACGCTCTAGCCCAGCGATGGAGAACCTATGACACACGTGTCAGAGGTGACACGCGAACTCATTTTCTTGGTGGATTTTTCTGTGTTCAATGGCATTTAAATATATAAAATAAACGTCAAAAATATAAATCTTTGTTTTACTCTGGTGGCAAAGATCAAAAAATTTCTATAGGTGACACGGCACCAGAGTTAAGTTAGGGTTTTTCTTTTCTTTTTTTTTTTAAATATATTTTATTGATTTTTTACAGAGAGGAAGGGAGAGAGATAGAGAGTTAGAAACATCGATGAGAGAGAAACATCGATCAGCTGCCTCCTGCGCATCTCCTACTGGGGATGTGCCCGCAACCCAGGTACATGCCCTTGACCGGAATCGAACCTGGGACCTTTCAGTCCGCAGGCTGACGCTCTATCCACTGAGCCAAACCGGTTTCAGCAAGTTAGGGTTTTTCAAAATGCTGACAAGCTGAGCTCAAAAGGTTCGCCATCGCTGCTCTAACCACTGCACCACACTGGCCAGGGCAGATGTACTGTGATTCCTCCTCTTTGGTCGCTGGTTTGAGGCAGGAGATTCTCAGAAATTGCCCAAATCCCTCCCTGTCCAAGGAGCAGATTTTATCTCGGGAGCAGCTGCCGACCAGAATCTGGGTCTTGTTTGTCACACTTGGTCCTATTTTTTCCTCTTCCTGTCTGTTTCCTCGTTCCTCCCCCGCGCCAGCTGTCTCTCCAGCCCCTGACCACGTATGCTCCTTCCAGCTTCTTGAAACGCCAGAGCAGCAGGGAACCTTAATTCTCTACATTTCTCACAGAACTGGGTGCCATGCAAGGACAGCCTTCCTTCAGTAGATGGCTCGGCCCCAAATGTTCCCGTTCCTCTAAAATAAGACACAGGCCCGGCCGGCGTGGCTCAGGGGCTGAGCATCGACCTAGGAAGCAGGAGGTCACAGTTCAATTCCCCGTCAGGGCACATGCCGGGTTGCAGGCTCCATCCCCAGGACAGGGCGTGCAGGAGGCAACCGGTCCATGATTCTCTCATTGACTAGAGGCCCGGTGCACGAAATTTGTGCAGGGGTTGGGGGAGGTCCCTCAACCCGGCCTGCATCCTGTCCAATCTGGGACCTCTCAGGGGATGTCCAACTGTCAGTTTAGGCCCAATCTCTTGCAATCTGGGACAGCTAGCTCCTAACTGCTCTCCCCTGCCGGCCTGATCGCCCCTAACTGCTCTCCCCTGCCGGCCTGATCGCCCCTAACTGCTCTCCCCTGCTGGCCTGATCGCCCCTAACTGCTCTCCCCTGCCGGCCTGATCGCCCCTAACTGCCCTCCCCTGCCAGCCTGATCGCCCCTAACTGCTCTCCCCTGCTGGCCTGATCGCCCCTAACTGCCCTCCCCTGCCAGCCTGATCGCCCCTAACTGCTCTCCCCTGCCGGCCTGATCACCCTTAACTGCCCTCCCCTGCTGGCCTGATCGCCCCTAACTGCTCTCCCCTGCCGGCCTGATCGCCCCTAACTGCTCTCCCCTGCCAGCCTGATTACCCCTATCTGCCCTCCCCTGCCGGCCTGATCGCCCCTAACTGCCCTCCCCTGCCGGCCTGATCGCCCTAACCACCTCTGCCTCAGCCCCGCCACCGTGGCTTTGTCCGGAAGGACATCTGAAAGACGTCTGGTCTAATTAGCATATTACCCTTTTATTAGTGCAGATGCTTCTATCTCTCTCTCTCCTTCTCCCTTCCTCTCTGAAATCAAACACACACACACACACACACACACACACACATTAATCCTTTAAGAAAATAAAAAATTAAGTATTTTGTAGAGTCAAGCTGGTGTGATTTCTGTGGGATAACAGAATGGTTGCCATTTTCCACTTTTAACATAATGAAGGGTGAGCCCTTTCAATGAATCTTTGCCCAACAGACCAGATGACTAGCGATGGGGCAGGCGTGCGTTGAAAGCCAGTACGAGTCTCACTCCCAGTCTGAGAAGGAGCCATCACTTGGGAGGTGAGCAGATGTCCTGGGAGAGGGGAGCCTCCAGGAGCCGAACCCCCAAACACAACAGAGAAAACGGGAGGTTGAGTCGACCTCTGAAGCGTGACCTCAAAGTCCAACCTCCACACACCGGCCTCTAGAACACGCCCCGGTCGCATTCACAGCTGCTGGGTTTCCAGATGCTGAGGCATCTCAGTCACATGGACATCACTGTGGTTCTACGTTGAACAGTACGAAAAAAACACACACAAAAGCCACCTGAGACCTACCACCTGGTTCCACTCGCACCTTCATGCTGGTAAGGAAGGACACGACTCTAAGACGGGTGTCGGAAAACCCAAACGCGACAGCACAACCTGAGGAACACGCAGGAGGACAAACACCACAACATCCACGCCTCGGAACTTGATGCTCAAGATCGGAGTCTGGGGGCAAAACCCACATGATCCGCGAGGAGGTACAGACGGAGGAGCCATGACCCTGGGACCAGAAGGAGTAAGAGCAGAAAGGAGCCAGGGTTCCACACCAAGCCAAGCGCCCCGCACCCGAGCCATCCATCGACCGACCGCTGCAGAGCAGAGCACCCTGGGAGCCACGGACACCCAGGGAGCTGCGACTCACTGTTGGGCGGGTGCCAGCGCACGGCGTTCAGGTAGAAGTTGCAGTAGTGGAAGAGGAACTCGTGCTCAGAGCGTTGGGTTTCGCCTCGCAGAAGGGGCATCAGGTCGCGCCCGTCGATGATCCTGTGGGGTCAACCAGGTGGCCGTGAGGGTGTGAGGCGAACCAGGACAGCTAGCTGCTAACCGCTCACCTGCCTGCCTGCCCTAACCACTCTGCCTGCCTGATCGCCCCTAACTGCTCTCCCCTGCCGTAACCACTCTGCCTGCCTGCCTGATCGCCCCTAACTGCTCTCCCCTGCCGGCCTGATCACCCCTAACTGCTCTCCCCTGCCAGCCTGATCACCCCTAACTGCTCTCCCCTGCCAGCCTGATCGCCCCTAACTGCTCTCCCCTGCCAGCCTGATCGCCCCTAACTGCTCTCCACTGCCAGCCTGATCGCCCCTAACTGCTCTCCCCTGCCAGCCTGATCACCCCTAACTGCTCTCCCCTGCCAGCCTGATCGCCCCTAACTGCTCTCCACTGCCAGCCTGATAGCCCTTAACTGCTCTCCACTGCCGGCCTGATCTCCTCTAACTGCCCTCTCCTGCCGGGCTGATCGCCCCTAACTGCTCTCCCCTGCCGGCCTGATCGCCCTTAACTGCTCTCCACTGCCGGCCTGATCTCCCCTAACTGCTCTCCCCTGCCAGCCTGATCACCCCTAACTGCTCTCCCCTGCCGGCCTGATCGCCCCTAACTGCTCTCCCCTGCCGGCCTGATCGCCCCTAACTGCTCTCCCCTGCCGGCCTGATCGCCCCTGACTGCCCTCTCCTGCCAGCCTGATCGCCCTTAACTGCTCTCCACTGCCGGCCTGATCTCCCCTAACTGCTCTCCCCTGCCGGCCTGACCTCCCCTAACTGCCCTCCCCTGCCGGCCTGATCTCCCCTAAGTGCTCTCTCCTGCTGGCCTGATCGCCCCTAAATGCTCTCCCCTGCCGGCCTGATCGCCCCTAACTGCTCTCCCCTGCTGGCCTGATCGCCCCTAACTGCTCTCCCCTGACGGCCTGATCGCCCCTAACTGCTCTCACCTGCCAGCCTGATCGCCCCTAACTGCTCTCCACTGCCAGCCTGATAGCCCTTAACTGCTCTCCACTGCCGGCCTGATCTCCTCTAACTGCCCTCTCCTGCCGGGCTGATGGCCCCTAACTGCTCTCCCCTGCCGGCCTGATCGCCCCTAACTGCTCTCCCCTGTCGGCCTGATCGCCCCTAACTGCTCTCCCCTGCCGGCCTGATCGCCCCTGACTGCCCTCCCCTGCCGGCCTGATCGCCCCTAACTGCTCTCCCCTGACGGCCTGATCGCCCCTAACTGCTCTCCCCTGCCGGCCTGATCGCCCTTAACTGCTCTCCACTGCCGGCCTGATCTCCCCTAACTGCTCTCCCCTGCCGGCCTGATCACCCCTAACTGCTCTCCCCTGCCGGCCTGATCGCCCCTAACTGCTCTCCCCTGCCGGCCTGATCGCCCCTAACTGCTCTCCCCTGCCGGCCTGATCGCCCCTGACTGCCCTCTCCTGCCAGCCTGATCGCCCTTAACTGCTCTCCACTGCCGGCCTGATCTCCCCTAACTGCTCTCACCTGCCGGCCTGACCTCCCCTAACTGCCCTCCCCTGCCGGCCTGATCTCCCCTAACTGCTCTCCCCTGCTGGCCTGATCGCCCCTAACTGCTCTCCCCTGCCGGCCTGATCGCCCCTAACTGCTCTCCCCTGCTGGCCTGATCGCCCCTAACTGCTCTCCCCTGACGGCCTGATCGCCCCTAACTGCTCTCCCCTGCCAGCCTGATAGCTCCTAACTGCTCTCCCCTGCCAGCCTGATAGCTCCTAACCGCTCTCCCCTGCCAGCCTGATCGCCTCTGCCTTGGCTGTCTTCTGAGAATGAACCGCTCTCCCCGCCCCGCCCGTGCCCCCCGCCCCCATCCTCTGGACAACGGAGAGCGTGAGAGAGCAGCATCATCATAATTAAGTCATCGGCAGTAAATACCCTCCCGGACCCTGTTGGGTACCATATGCAATGCAGGGACGTCAGCATTTTTTTTTTTAATTCTCCCAACAGCATCATGAGTGGAGGCTCTTATTCCATAACAATAAGCTGGTGTGGCTCAGTGGTTGAGCATCGACCTAGGAACCAGGAGGTCACGGTTGGATTCCTGGTCAGGGCACAGGCCCGGGTGGCGGGCTCGATACCCAGTAGGGGGCGTGCAGGAGGCGGCCGATCCATGATTCTCTCTCCTCGTTGATGTTTCTATCTCTCTCTCCCTCTCTCCCTTCCACTCTGAAACCCATAGAAATATTTAAAAAACAAAATAAAAATTGCTACTATTCTTTAAAAAAAAATCACAGGACTGAAAAACAATAGTGGGCCATCATTTCCTCCCCACAAGGGACTTGGGAATAGGTTTCTGTTTTCTTATCCTCTCTCTCTCTCTCTCTCTTTCACAATAGTAACATTTTATACGTCAACAAGCCTCATGAGATCTGTAAGAAGGACCGTCCGTTTCAAGAGCAGGTTCCGCCCTTGCCCTTCCGCTCAGTGGATAGAGCGTCGGCCAGCAGACAGAAGGGTCCCGGGTTCGATTCCTGTCAAAAGCATGCATACCCTGGTTACAGGTTCCCCGGCCCTGGTCAGGGCCTTTGTCAGGGTGCATATGGGAGGCAACCAATCCGTGTGTCTTTCTCACATCGATGTTTCTCTCTCTCTGTCTCTCCCCCTCCTTTCCACTCTCTCTCTCTTAAAACAAAAAACCAAAATCAATGGAAAAATATCCTCAGGTGAGGATTCACAAAACAAAATGAAAGCAAAGGGCCCAGATGATTTTAATGATTGGAAGCCACCAGAGCCGCGTGCAACTCAGGGACTTACCCTGTGGGAGTTATTGAAGGGTGCCCACTGAGATTTAGTCCAAGGGTAAGACCGAGGGCCCATGAGGAGACAAAATCGGGAGTGAAGTTTCTGGCGTCGGAGAAGGCTTTTGATGAGTAACCGCTGCCAGCTTTCCTGCCTGTCATCACGGGACTATCGACAACCTCGAGGCTGAGACAATCGAGTCCCGGACGCAACCTGATCATTGCAACCCCAGCCCCTACTGCCTGTAAGCTGGCCCCAGGGGCACCCACAGTCTGCAAACGCCCCACCCCCAGCCCGCATGACCTGTAATGAGTATCCCGTGCCCACTTCCCCGGGTCTGTCACGCCTACTACCCCACGGAGCCCTTGTCCTTCTACCCATAAAGGCAGCTGGCTTCTGGGGGCGCAGAGCAGACGTCTGCGGGTGACCTGCTACTGTCCCATCCCGCCGGCAGGATTGGAACAAACCCTCTTATAGGATTCACCCCCGTCTCTGCTGAATTGGCTTAATTAGTGACAGGCGGCCTGTCCCGGACCCCCGGCTGTTGGGTGAAATAACCGGAGGCGGAGAACTCGTCCCGCTGGAGTTCACACGCAACACGCCGGGAGCCGGAGCCCACCCACCCCCACCCGGGACGTGGGCGCGACGCCACACCACGCGACTCGAGTCACGTACCTGTCCTCGGGCAGCGGGGACCCGGCCAGCTTGGCCACGGTGGGGAAGACGTCCATGTTGCTGGTGGGCTCGGCGATCTCCACCCCGGCCGGGAGCACGCCCGGCCACCGCAGCAGGCCCGGCACGCGGATGCCTCCTTCCCAGTTGTTGCCTTTGCCGCCTGAAACGCCAACGGGAGGCCACAGGTGAGTCTCCTGAGGTTGGCCCGCCGGGCGGGGGAGCCGGGGGCCACAGCCGATCCCACGCTCACCTTTAAAGATCCCGTTGCTTCCCCCGTGACGCTCTCCCTTGGGGGTGACCTCCTCCACGTGGGCGCCCTGGTCGGACGTGAAGTAGACGAGGGTGTTGTTGGTCAGCTGCAGCTCCTCTAGGACGTTCAGGAGCTGCCCTGAAGGGGAGACCACAGCCAAGTGTGAAACTAGACATCTATCTATATAAAAGCCTAACATGCATCACTCGCTATGACATGCGCTGACCACTGCCGGGAGCCGGTCCATGCTTGCTGTTTCAAGGGACCTGGCATATATGGCATACTGTTCTTAATATGTTTGCTCACCTTCTTGGCACTATGTGTTTTAACCAAGGTCTCTGAGAAAGGTTGTTTCCCCAGGTAGGGATTTTCCCCTGAAGTTAGGGAGGGAATAAAACTCCTTAACTAAGTGCCAGGCGGGTAATTAATCACTTTAACTACAAACAATCATGCTTAAGCTACATAATCTTTACTCCCTGGAATGGAGATAAGAAACGCCCTAACCTTTGGAATAGAGATTGATAGGATTGAATCAACTGGTATAAATACAGATGTAATAAGACAGCAAGAGACAGAACTTAGAATACAGAGCTTAGAACACAGAACTAAGAAGACAGAACCTACACAGAACCTAGAGACAGAAGAACTTCGCTGGAGAGAACATGGCAAAAGATCCTGGACTGAACCTGACTACAGAAATTAGCAAGAGAACCTGACTAGAACCTGGTGACTGAACCTGGCTGGAGAACCTGGACAGAACCTGGCTGGAGAACCTGGACAGAACCTAGCAAGAGAACATGGACACAGAACCTGGCTGGAGATCCGAACCAGAACTTCGCTGGAGATCCAGACCAGAACTTGGCTGGAGATCCTGGCTAGAGATCCTGGCTAGGCTGCTGATCAACTGAACTCCGTCTCCATGTCATTCCTTCTTCGCCGACTCCGTCCACACCTTTGGGGACCCCTGGACCTGCTGGGGTTGGACCCCGGCAGACCACCAGGGGGCAGCATGGAGCAAAGGAAGGCCGAGCCAGAAGCTGGGGAAGGGAGGCCCCACCGGCGGCCAGCAGCTGCTCGGGACTCTACCTGTGCACAAATTTCATGCACTGGGCCTCTAGTAGAAATATATCTATACTTTTTTTTTTCTTATTGATTTCAGAGAAGGGAGAGGGAGAGAGAGAGAAAAACATCCATGATGAGAGAGAATCATGGATCGGCTGCCTCCTGCACACCCCCTACTGGGGTTCGAGCCTGCAACCCAGGGGGCGTGTGCCCTTGACCGGGAATTGAACCCTGACCTCCTGGTTCCTAGGTCGACGCTCAACCCCTGAGCCACGCCGATCGAGCAGGCTTCGCCTCTGGATCTCTCGTCGTCTTGTTCTCTGACTGTAATCTGAATTATGACTTTTATCTCAAGTGAGCTATTTTCACGTGATTTATCAGAAGCAGAGTGGAACTGCCATTCACAGTTGGCTACGTATATCATGATTAGACCAATAGTCTAAGGCGCTGATTCTTTTTATTTTTAAATACATTTTTACTGATTTCAGAGGAAGGGAGAGGGGGAGAGAGAGAAACATCCATGAAGAGAGAGAATCATGGATCGGCTGCCTCCTGCTCGCCCCCTACTGGGGTTCGAGCCTGCAACCCGGGCATGTGCCCTTGACCGGGAATCGAACCCTGACCTCCTGGTTCCTAGGTCGATGCTCAACCACTGAGCCACACTGGCCAGGCACTGACTTTGTCATTTCCATTCAAAGTGTCCCATACTGCTTGGCTGGGATTAACATGACAGAATCTAGTAGAGACCATCAGACAAAAACGGTGAAGTATTTCGTTTAATTTGTGGAGAAATGGTCAGATTTCCGATTTCCTTTTATTTTCTCTTCCCCCGAAAGACACTCTCCAACATACTCTGAGTCCCATTCTGTTTAGGTCTTAAGCCGGAGTCTTGTGAGTCAAGCTCAGAGCCCACTGACCATTTAACTTTCCCCAAGATTGACCCAAAGGTAGGCTTACAGCTGTCCCAGTGGAAAATAGTACAGCGATCCCATATAATAAAATCCTAACGTGCTACGTGTCCGGTCGACCAGTCGGCCGTTCAACCAATCAGAGCGTAATATGCTAATGATATGCTAAGGCCGCTCAACTGCTCGCTATGACGTGCACTGACCACCAGGGGGCACACAGTCGACCGGTTGACCAGTCGCTATGATGTGCACTGACCACCAGGCGGCAGACAGTCAACGGGTTGACCAGTCGCTATGACGTGCACTGACCACCAGGGGGCAGATGCTCCAACTGGTAGGTGAGCTTGCTGCTGGGGTCCGGCCGATCGGGACTGAGCGAGACGGGCCAGACACACCCTGGGGCCCTCCTGTGGTCCCTCCCCGGCTGGCCAACCTCCCGCATCCCTCCCCGGCCCTGATCGTGCACCAGTGGGGTCCCTCAGTCTGGCCTGCGCCCTCTCGCCATCCGGGACCCCTCGGAGGATGTCGGAGAGCCGGTTTCGGCCCCATCCCGCAGGCCAGGCCGAGGGACCCCACTGGTGCACGAATTCGTGCACCGGGCCTCTAGTTAAAAAATAATGAAACAAGAATAAGCTACTTCACGTACTGACCACTGCACACCTACTCTCCCCGCCCGTTGTGCAGGGCTAACGTTCTTCTCTCCCACACACTGTGCACCCAACGCCCCCCGGGAACGCACGCCCCCAAATTGTCCTCAGCTTTCGGTACAACACGCGGCCCGGCCCGCGTCCGCGAATATTATCTCTCAGGAAGGTTCCCCGGGGAGAAGGACACCGATCCATGGCGGCGGATGGTTCTGCATTACCGCGTGCGTGCTGCGGGGCCGCTCATAAAGGGAGTGTTTTCCTTTCAAATCCTCTCATCTTGTTCCCCGAGTGAAACAGACGCGGCGGGAAATACGCCGTCTGGAGAGCAATTTGTCACTGAGCAGCAGGCAGACAAACACCACCAGTCGGCTCATCCAACAGATGAGAGCGTCCCGGCCACCCTGGGGTGACCCTGCCCGGGGAACACGTGGGGGTGGGACACCCTGCCTCCTCGCTGGGGACGGGGGTTGTAGGGGAAGATTAAATCCCGGCGAGAGCCCTGGCGGGTGTGGCTCAGTGGTTAGAGCGCCGGCCTGCGGACCAAAGGGTCCCGGGTTCGATTCCGGTCAAGGGCATGTAACCTGGGTTGCCGTCCTCAGACATGCAAGCAATGTTATAAAAGCCCAGACCAGCCCAGTCCGGCTGGGAATCCAACCATGACCTCCAGGTGCATACGTTGACGCTCAGTCACGGAGCCACACCGGCCAGGCCAGCAGAATATTATGGGAACAGTAGAGGCCCGGTGCACGAATTTGTGCACCAGTGGGGTCCAGCCGGCCCACCACAATCAGGGCCGATTGGGCCGAGCCGGCCAGAGGGAGGGGCTGCAGGCGGTTGGCAAGCCAGTCCCACCCCTGACCGGGGGGGGAGTGATCAGGGGCAGGGCCAGATGGGGGGGGCCGCAGACCATTGGTCGGTCTGCCCTGCCCCCTGGTCGAACTCCCGGTCGAGGGGACAAGGTGCATGTTAGCCTTTTATTCTATAGAATACCTTTTTAACCCAGTCTCCCAAATTCTAATATATCCTTTCTTCCGATGCCGTGAAATGTTTAACTGGCTACTGCATGGTTACTTAACCTCTCAAACTTCGCTTTCCCGTTTTTATAGAGACGGACATAAAAAAATATCTCCTGGCAGCCCCAGCCGGTGCGGCTCAGTTGGCTGAGCATCGTCCCACGCACCAGGAGGTCAGGGTTCGATTCCCAGTCAGAGCACATGCCCGGGTTGCGGGCTTAATCCCCAGTAGGGGGCGTGCAGGAGGCGGCCGATCCATGATTCTCTCTCTCTCTCTCCCCTCCCCAAAAAAGTCAATGAAAGATATTTTAAAAAAACGTATCTCATAGCATAGTCAAATAATCATCCACGTACAAATCTATATATATAAAAGCCTAATCAACTGGTTGACTGGTCACTATGATGTGCACTGCCCACCAGGGGGCAGACGCTCAACGCAGAAGCTGCCCCCTGGTGGTCAGTGCGCTCCCACAGCCAACCTCCCACGGACCCTCCCCCCGGTCAGCCGTGGTTCCTCCCCCCGCCCCGGCCAGCAGGCCCCAATAGGCCCCCATCGCCAGCCAGGCCGAGAGACCCCAACTGTGCACGAATTTGTGCACCAGGTCTCTAGTGTTTCAATAAGCGGCCAGGACAGACGGAAGGCTTTCATGGTTGAGCTATTGTTAGTCACTCGCTATGTAATGATTATGGTGGTGGCGGCTGCTCCTAGGGGATTGTGGCTAATATTCCTGTCATCGAAATGCAACCACGTCTTCTCTCATTCGTCCTGTGCGAATGAATGGGGCCACGGATTCCTTGATAATTCACGACGTTGCCGTCTTTATGGGAACCACTCATAAAACAGCGTCAAAAGCTCTTCCTTTTACCGTGAGTTGTAAAATTCGAGGTAAAATCATGTCTGTCCCGGGCCCCCGCGGGCAGGGATTTGTGGAAAAATGGTCACATTATCACAGAGGGTGCGAAACCCCGAGGGGGCAGGATTTACAAGCTAAATTAAAAGTTAGAGAACCACCACAGAGAGTCCACACGATGAATTTCCAAATTATTAATATTACGGCCTGAAGTCTACATCACCTGGCCTGCCTCGACCCTGCCCCGGGCCCTCGCCCAATGCTTTCTCTCTCGTACTGGGTACTGTTCACTCTTAAAGGCTCAGGTTGCAAAAAAACAACATCTTTCTCCAGAAAATGTACTATTTGGTCCCAAACACAGAATTACCGGAAAGTCACATAAAAAAAAAAAAAAAAAAACGGAGAGAAAGAAAAACATCCTCAATGCATGTTTCCTTCATCACTGCTGTCCTGCTATGGAATTTTCTGAGACCCTGGGTGAGGTTACAGTTTACAGATGTGTACGCCTGAGAGAAACATATAAAATCAAGAACAGGCTCGGGGAGGAAACGTAAATAAATTCCTGAAGATCAGGATTAATCTGCAAGAAGAAGGCATTTAAAATCAGTGCAGCTGAGCCCGGCCGGCGTGGCTCAGTGGTTGAACGTCAAGTGACAAACCAGAAGGTCACGGTTCGATTCCCGGTCAAGGGCACAGGCCCGGGTTGCGGGCTCGATCCCCAGTAGGGGGCGTGCAGGAGGCGGCCGGTCCATGATTCTCTCTCCTCATGGATGTTTCTATCTCTCTCTCCTTTTCCCTTCCTCTCTGAAATCAATAAAAATATATTTTTTTTAAAAAAAGAAGCAATCGGTGCTTCAGGACAAAGGCGTGATGGCAACAGGGACATAAAGATAGAACCTAGTTTAACAGTCCCTCTTCTCTTGTGGGTGTCAGTGCCACCGTCCAATGCTACCTCCAGGACTCTGGGAAAGTTACTTTACCTTGCAGACTTTATTTCTCTCTAAGTGGGCTGCTTCATCTTCATCATCATCCCTTCCTTCCTCCTCCCATCATCATCTTTACTGACTTCATCATCATCATTTTCCCAGCATCACCATCATCTGCATCACCATCATCATCCCCATTGTCTTTATCACCAACCCTACCATCATCACCATCATCATCATCACCATCATCATCATCATCACCATCATCATCCCCATTGTCTTTATCACCAACCCTACCATCATCACCATCACCATCTTCATCACCATCACCACCATCACCATCACCATCATCACCATCACTACCATCATCATCACCATCACCATCATCACCATCACAATCATCACCATCATCACCACCATCACCACCATCACCACCATCTCCTCCACCTTCATCAACAGCAGCACTATCATCATCATAATCATCATCATCATCATCATCATCATCATCAAATCTCTTAAGTGCATGCACTGAGCACAGCGCCAGGCACCAGTGAGGTCACTACAATATCCCCCCGAAAGTTTCATCGTGATTCATGTGCTGCCTATCCGTGAAGCCGTGTGCTTTCCAACGCCCCCTTTACATTCACACGAGAGGCTTGCGTTTCAGAGAAGGTCCCATTTATCAAGCGTAAAAGCGTCTGAAAAATTCAAGACGGGAAATGGACGCGAAGAACCCCCAGGGAAATACACAGCCGTAGGGCCGAGATTACATCCTGCAAGAACACAAGAACAACAGAGCGAACGCTGGCATTGCTGTTGCAGGTCCTGCAATGTTAGTATTCCGGAGACAGCGACAAGGAGGCGGAGTTGTAAGCCCTTGTCCTGGATGCAAAGGAAGATAAATGTTGAGTCACATCTGTCTCGGCTGCTTTTAACATCCTTGCAAAGCAACCTGACCCAAGCCCATGGCTGGGCCTTTATCCACCAATGTCAGAGGCAGCCATGCCGGCTTAGAAATTCCAGGAAAATCTTGGGTAGGGCCTTGCCAACATCAGGCACCTGCTCTCTGAACGGAACTAACAAGCAAAATAGAGACAAGACTTGCCCGGCGGGCATGGGTCAGTGGTTGAGCGTCGACCTAGGAACCAGGAGGTCACGGTTCGATTCCCGGTCAAGGGCTCATACCCAGGTTGTGGGCTCCATCCCCAGTATGGGGCGTGCAGGAGGCAGCCGATCCCTGATTCTCTCTCATCATCGATGTTTCTACCTCTCTCTCTTCTTCTCCCTTCCTCTCTGAGGTCAATAAAAATATATATTTTTTTAAAAGGAGAGATGAATTATTCCACCCATCCCCACGACAAAATATTCTCCTGATTGTATCACTAAGGAGCAGGAACTATACCCTGATTGACATGCAACATGTTAAAAGAAATGAAAGGAGGCGGGCTTATATCTGTAGACGCAAAGGCCCTACGCATAACGGGCTCTTATACGTCTCATTAGGGGGACGGCTCTGGTGTTGTTTTTCCCGGAATCCAGCATCTGCACTTATTTCTGTTGTTTTATAGAATCGCAGGGAGGTGCAGAGAAAAACAAATGAACAAAAACCCAACAACTTAGAACTTGCTTCGTCTGAATTCGTCATGGAAACATGATGGACGGAGGGCGAGAGATTTAAGACATGGCCCAAGTTCAGAGAGAGAGTTAAAGAAAGAGGCAGAAGCCGGGGCAGAAGTCCAGTCTGGCCGGAACAAGAGGCCAGCTGGCGTGGCTCAGTGGTTGAGCCTCCACCTAGGAACCAGGAGGTCATGGGTTCGATTCCTGGTCAAGGGCACAGGCCCGGGTGGTGGGCTCCATCCCCAGTAGGGGGCGTGCAGGAGGCAGCCGATCCACAATTCTCTCTCATCATGGATGTTTCTGTCTCTCTCTCCCTCTCCCTTCCTCCCTGAAATCAATAATCCTATATAATAAAACACTAACATGCAAATCAACCAACCGGCGGAACAACTGGTTTCTAGACACGCACTGACCACTAGGGGGCAGACACTCAATGCAGGAGCTGTCCCCCTAGTGGTCAGTGCGCGCCCACAGGGGGAGCACTGCTCAGCCAGAAGTCAGGCTCACGGCTAGCGAGCGTAGCAGTGGTAGCGGAAATCTCTCCCGCCTCCACGGCAGGTGGACATCCCCCAAGGGTTCCCGGACCGCCAGAGGGTGCAGGCCGGGCTGAGGGACCTCCGCCCACCTCAGTGCACAAATGTTGTGCACCGGGCCTCTAGTATATCCTATATAATAAAAGGATAATATGCAAATTGACCCTAACAGCAGAACGACTGGGAATGACTGGTCACAATGACATACACTGACCACCAGGGGGCAGACACTCAATGCAGGAGCTGCCCCCTGGTGGTCAGTGCACTCCCACAGGGGGAGCTCTGGTCAGCCACAAGCCAGGCTGACGGCTGCCAGCACGGCGGTGGTGGTGGGACCCTCTCCCGCCTCCTCAGCAGCGTTAAGGATGTCCAACTGCACCTTAGGTCTGCTCCCTGCTGGCAAGTGGACGTCCCCCGAGGGCTGCCTGGCTGCCAGAGGGATGTCTGACTGCCAGCTTGGGCCCAATCCCCCGGGGAGCGAGCCTAAGCCAGTAGGTGGACAACCCCCGAAGGCTCCCGGGCTGCCAGAGGGATGTCTGACTGCCATCTTAGGCCCAATCCCCCCAGGGAGCAGGTGTAAGCCAGCAGGTGGACATCCCCCGAAGGCTCCCAGCTGCCAGAGGGATGTCTGACTGCCAGCTTAGGCCCAATCCCCCAGGAACTGGGCCTAAGCCAGCAGGTGGACCTCCCTCGAGGGATCCCAGACTGCGAGAGGGCACAGGCCAGGCTGAGGGACCACCCCCAAGTGCACAATTTTTGTGCACCGGGCCTCTAGTTTATATATATATATTTTAAAGCACATTTACTGCCTATAACAATATCGGGAATTGGGTGGAAACGCACAGAATTCAGCTGGAGGGCGGAAAAGACGCAGCCACATCTTCAGGTCCCACTGGGAACAAGGACTCACGTACCGACACCCCAGTCCATCTCCTCAGCCGCGTCCCCGTAGGCACCATGCTTGCTCTTCCCGGCAAAGTCCTTGGACGCATACAGGGCCGTGTGGACCTGGATACAGGAGAAGACGAGCAGGAAGGGCCTCTCCGCGTTCCTGCAAGAAAATACAAATAAAAAAATCCCGCCCTGACCGGTGTGGCTCAGTGGATAGAGCATCGGCCTGGGGACTGAAGGGTCCCAGGTTCGATTCCGGTCAAGGGCACATGCCCGGGTTGCAGGCTCAATCCCCAGTGTGGGGCATGCAGGAGGCAGCCGGTCCATGATTCTCTGTCATCGTGGATGTTTCTATCTCTCTCTCCCTCTCCCTTCCTCTATGAAATCAAAAATTTTTTTTTTTTAAAAGGAGACCCACCAAACCTTAGCCGGTTTGGCACCATGGATAGAGCATCAGCCTGCAGACTGAAGGTTCCGGGTTCGATTCTAGTCAGGAGCACATGCCTAAATTGCAGGTTCGAACCTGGGCCAGCCCCGGTTGGGGTGCGTGCAGGAGGCAACCAATCAATGTGTCCCTCTCACATCGATGTTTCTCTCTGTCTCTCCCCCTCCCTTCCACTCTCTCTACAAATCAATGGAAAAACAACAACAACGAAAGAATATCCACCAAGACCCTTGCTGGTGTGGCTCAGTGGATAGAGCGTCGGCCTGTGGACTGAAGAGTCCTGGGTTTGATTCCCGATCAGGGCACATGCCTGGGTTGCAGACTCGACCCCCACTAGGGGGCGTGCAGGAGGCAGCCTATCGGATGATTCTCATCCATGTTTCTATCCCTCTCTCTTCCTCTCTCTCTAAAACAAACAAACAAATCTATACTAATAAAAGGTAATTATGCTAATTAGACTGGATGTCTTCCGGACATCCTTCCGCACGTCCTTCCGGACAAAGCCACAGTGGCGGGGGCTGAAGCAGAGGTGGTTAGGGGTGACCAGGCCAGCAGGGAAGCAGTTAGGGGGCGACCTGGCTGGCAGGGGCCAGTTAGGGGGCGATCAGGCTGGCAAGCAGAGGCGGTTAGGGGTGATCAGGCAGGCAGGCAGGCAGGCGAGCGGTTAGGAGCCAGTGGTCTGCAGGGATCGGGCCTAATCCGGCAGTCGGACATCCCTTCAGGGGTCCCAGATTGGAGAGCACGCAGGTAGGGCTGAGGGACACCTCCCTCCTGTGCACAGATTTCGTGCACCGGGCCTCTAGTAAGTAAACCAATAAATATTTTAAAAATGTAATATGGACCCAGGCATCCCGTTGGCAATTTCTAAGAGTAGAAGTCTTTGAACAGCGGGGAGGAGCTGAGAGTAAGCCATGGTATGTCATGGACTTCTGCCACACAGGGCGGACCATGAGGCCTCCACACTACTTATTCTGGGGGACGTTTATTCGCCCCGGGAAACACTATCGTACCTTCTTCTCAAAACGCAGATTACGGACCTAAAACAAAACCAAAACCCCAGCTCAGACTCCCCCAAATGAACATGCAACGACATATGTACTCGACCCTAAATAGACGGCTACATTATGCATGATGCGTGGGTACAATCTCACGTTCGTCTCATCTCCCGTTTATTTTTAGATTCGAAGTTAAGGCGGAATGAAAAAAAAAAAAAAAGATAAAAGCAGCTGAAAAAGGCCATCTTCCAAGCACATATACGGTCACGGCAGGAAATACAAGATGGGGCTGACCGATGTGCTGCGAAGGCAGAGCTAGGGCCGTGCCAACCACCTGTGGGGGAACCGAAGAGATGCAGAAAGAGGAAGCAAGCGGCATGATTGGCGGGATCACATGACCGAGGTGAGCATCAAAGAGATAAATGAAAAGGTGGACGCAATGAGCAAACCACGGAGCCCAAGTCAGTGCCATGCCCGGCTGAGCAGAGTGAGAGCCGGGGAGTGGAGGCGAAGACGCACCACTTAGTTCAGTCAGAGCCACGGAATGTGACTTTGTCTGGGAATGTTGGGAGAATCCCGGCCGGAGGCACGAGGCCATTCTCAACGCCCTCATTGGAAAAACGCCCCTGAGAACGGGATTCTTTTTCTATCATCTCCACAAAATCACAGACGCCAGCTAAGGTCCTGGGTGTCAACCCAGAGTGAATAGGTTTTCTATTTTTTATCACTTTCTTTATTTGTTTATTCATTCATTCATTTTATTTATTTGATTGTTTATTTATTTATTTTTTAATCCTCCCCTGAGGATATTTTCCCAATGGTTTTTAGAGAGAGTGGGAGAGGGAGAGACAGAGAGAAACACGGATGAGAGAGAAACACATCGATGGGTTGCCTCCTGCACACACAGCCCCGACCAGGGCCCGGGCCGGGGAGGAGCCTGCAACACAGGCACGTGCCCTTGTCCGGAATCGAACCCGAGACCCTTCACTCTATCCACTGAGCCACACCGGCTAGGGCAGAGTGAATAGGTTTTATATAAAAAAACAAAACTTGAACCCGGCCGGCGTGGCTCAGTGGTTGAGCATCGACCTATGAACCAGGAGGTCAGGGTTCGATTCCCGGTCAGGGCACAGGCCCGGGTTGCAGGCTCCATCCCCAGTGGGGGGCGTGCAGGAGGCAGCCGGTCCATGATTCTCTCTCATCATGGATGCTTCTCTCTCTCTGTCCCTTCCTCTCTGAAATCAATAATAATAATAGTAAAAAAACCAGCCTGACCCAGTTTGGCTCAGTGGATGGAGCGTCGGCCTGTGGACTAAAGGTCCCCGGGTTCGATTCCGGTAAAGGGCACGGACCTCGGTCGCAGGCTTGATGCCCGGCCCTGGTTGGGGCACATGGGAGGAGGCAATCGATCAATGTCATTGATGCTGCCCTCTCTCCGTCTCTCCCCCTTCCTTCCGCTCTCTCTAAAAAAAAATCAATGGAGCCCTGGCCGGTGTGGCTCAGTGGATAGAGCGTCAGCCTGCGGACTGAAGGGTCCCGGGTTCGATTCCGGCCAAGGGCACAGGCCTGGGTTGCGGGCTCGATCCCCAGTGGGGGGCGTGCAGGAGGCAGCCGATCCGTGATTCTCTCTCATCATTGATGTTTCTCTCTCTCCTCTCCTCCCTTCCTCTCTAAAATCAATAAAGAAATATATTTTTTAAAAAAATCAATGGATATAAGCCTAACCAACAGACGCAGACAACAGAGGGTGAGGGTGACGGCGGGATTGGGGGAGTGGTGCGGGGGCAATGGGGGGGGGGGTAACCACACATCTGTAATACCTTAATCAATAAAAAAAAATAAAATCAATGGGAAAATATCCTTGGGTGAGGATGGACCAAAAAAAAAAAAAGAAATCACGCCAATAAATAAATAAATAAAATAGAAAACAACTTGGAAATGTAGGGAAAAAAGTGCCCAGGGATCAAAACCATGGAAGCCTCCAGAAACAGAGGTACGTTCGACGTGGGCTAGGCCGACATAACCTTGGCTGCCCTGTGCCCCCCCTCCCACCCCCCCCTTCCCCTGTTGCCTCGCTGAGAGGGTAGGAGGGGCCATTTCTCTCTCCACCAGACTCCCAAGGGGCCCAGGTCTCCCCTCTCTCTCTCTCCTCGTCGACCTTGAAATCTCAAGGCCACGCAGCCAGCTGGTGGGCGGCAGATGTGACCATCACGGCTTCATTCCTTTTTTTTTTTTTTTTTTTTCTTGAGGGGCTGGCGCACTCCAGTCAACAGCTCTTTGGAAAATGTGTTGCCTCTGTCTTGCACGCCCGTGAGGAAAGAACGAACTTTCGGCTGTTACGTGCGTTCCCGCTATTTGTTAAAAAAATAAAAATAAATAAAACACACACACACACAAAAACACCCCAAAAACACAGAAGGAAGCTCCCAGCGTTCCAGCCACCTGCCACCATGTCAATCTTGGAACAGAAAAGGTTTACATCCGCCCTGACCGGTGTGGCTCAGTGGATAGCGCGTCAGCCTGTGGACTCAAGGGTCCCGGGTTCGATTCCTGTCAAGGGCATGGACCTGGGTTGCGGGCACATCCCCAGTGCAGGGCATGCAGGAGGCAGCCGATCGATGCTTCTCTCTCGTCGATGTTTCTAACTCTCTATCCCTCTCCCTTCCTCTCTGTAAAAAATCATTAATATATATATTTTTTTTATAAAAGAAAAGATTTACATCCTAGAGACGTGGGCGCCAACATCGGGGCCCGCAGACGGCGGCCACGAAGGTCCGGAACGTCCTATTCCAGCCTGAGGGCGTGACCGTCATTATCCAATAAGTGTCCCCTACTTGAGTCAGCGTGGAAAACAACTGCAACGCGACAGAAGCGTCGGCTGATTCTTTCTGAGCGACCCCTGGTGACTGGTGATTCCATGTGGCATCGTCCGACCGGCAGGGCTCAGGGGTAGAGCATCGACCTATGAACCTGGAGGTCCCGGTTCGATTCCCCGTCAGGGCAGATGCCCAGGTTATACCCTCGATCCCCAGTCGGGGGCAAGCAGGAGGCAGCCCGTCCATGATTCTCTCTCCTCGTTGATATTTCTCTCTTGCCCTCTCTCTCTTTAAAAATCAATACAAACATATTTTTTTTAAAAAAAAAAACACACACAAAAAAACCCCCAAAAGCATGGATCGCCCTGGAAACCCAGTCTGGAAGGGTCATAGGGCTGGGGAGCCATGGGTCTGGGGGGCCATAGAATTGGAAGTGTCATGGGGCTGGGGAGCCATGGGATTGGGGAGCCATGGGATTGGGGGGCCATGGGTCTGGGGAGCCATGGGTCTGGGGGGCCATGGGTCTGGGGGGCCATGGGACTGGGGGGCCATGGGTCTGGGGGGCCATGGGTCTGGCAGGGGCCATGGGGCTTGGGTGGCCATGGGCTGGGGGGCAATCGGGCTGGGGGACCTCCCGGGTCTGCCCCCCTCCATGGAGAAACCTGAGCCCGAGTTCCCGGGGCACCGCGGGGCTGGGGTCGGCCGGACGGGACGCGGGACGCGGCACCCACCGTCGGATGAAGCGGGCGGCGTCGGCCGTGAGCCGCTGGGTGAGGTTGTCATAGGACAGGGGCTGCTGGCTGACGGCCCGGCCCCGCATGAGGAAGCAGTTGAGGGGCCGGAAGAAGTGTAGGAAGCAGAGCAGGAGGCCCAGCAGGGCGGCGGCCAGCAGCAGCAGGACCAGGAAGACCACCCCGGGCACCGGCAGCAGCCCCAGCCAGCGCAGCGCGCCCAGCGTGACCAGCGCCAGGGCCAGCGCCTGCAGGGGCGCCAGCACCAGCACGCGGACGGCCTGGGTGAAGACGCTGCCCGCCCCCGGCTTGCAGTCCCGCAGGTTGGTGACGGGCAGCCCGTGGAAGTAGTCGAAGCCGTGGCTGGACGGGTGGTGGCAGAAGTCGGTGTTGTTGTGGCAGTGGGTGCCCAGGTGCCACTTCCCTGAGGACACGAACGGGGGAGGGGGATGTGATTGGGCCCCGGAGACACCAGGCTCCGCTTCCCACCCACGGAAGAGGAGGATCTGTCTGCCTGTTTTCTATTGGTTTATTTTTTAAAATATATGTTGTGTTGATTTCAGAGAGGAAGGGAGAGGGAGAGAGAGAGAAACGTCGATGAGGAGAGAGAATCACGGACCGGCCGCCTCCTGCACGCCCCCTACACTGGGGATGGAGCCCGCAACCCGGGCCTGTGCCCTTGACCGGGACTCGAACCCCGGCCTCCTGGTTCACAGGTCGGCGCCCAACCACGGAGCCACGCCGGTCGGGCGCTTTCTGCCTGTTTATTAGCCAACGTCGTATTTCCTGGGACTCTATAGGCTTTTTTTTTTTTTTTTTCTTCCTTTTCCACAAACACTAAGGTATTCACTCGCTCTACCAGAAGACAAGAAGTAATTTACTGAATGGGGGAAGGGGGTGGGGGCAGAACTAAAACAAAACAAAAGGCTAAAACCTAACATATTTAGCCCTAGCTGGTGGACAGAGCATCGGCCTGCGGACTGAAGGGTCCCGGGTTCGATTCCGGTCAAGGGCACACGCCCGGGTTGCAGGCTCGATCCCCAGTTGGGGGCGTGCAGGAGGCGGCCGATCCAGGATTCTCTCTCATCATGGATGTTTCTCTCTCTCTCCCTCTCCCTTCCGCTCTGACATCAATAAAAATATATTTTAAAAAACACGCACCAAAAACTAACATATTTCATGTGCTTGAGATGTAACTAAATAGGAAAAAACGTGTATTTTTTTTGAGATGGACGTTTTGTTTTGAGACAGGCTTCCTTGAAATTAAAGTCTTGGAACTGACTTGATTTTGTTCCCTCAATGTTAACAGTGGAAATGAATCCTTTCTAAAAAAAAAAAAAAAAACGCCCCAGAGGCAATATGAAATCATACTCATAACTCGGCCATTATTTTAAGTACCTATGAGCATTTCTTATAAAATGTTAATTATGCCACTAAATGAATGAGGGCCTCACACACACACACACACACACACACACACACAAGATGATGGCTTTACGACAACGCGTGTCAGGAATGAGAACGCTCATTCTTCCCTATGATTTTTTTTCTAGGACTCGTCTGACGACCGTCCTACGGACACACGCGTGTCACGGGAAAGGGGAGAAGGCACCGTTCGTCTCCATGGGATAAAGTCGATATGGGAGTATCGACGGAGGCCAATAAGGGTGCAGTTTTAGTATTAAAAAGTGAAAATGAAAATGCTTAGCAGTGGCAGGGTGTGCGTTTGTGGCTTTGTATGCTCCGTGTGTGTAACTGTATCTGTTATCGACCATCTGTTCCATCTGTCGATCTCATCCATCCATCTAGCCACCATCCATTCCATCTACTGTTCAACTCTTGTCTGTCTCTATTACTGATCCCATGTGTCTTTCCATCTGTCCGTCCGTCCATCCATCCATCCATGCATCCATCTATGCATCCATTCACCCATCCATTTCATCAACTGATCTATTCTTGTCATCTATCTTTCCATCTATCTGTCTATACATCCATCCATCCATACATCCATCCATTTCATCTATTGATCTATTTATTCTTATCTGTTTTTATTACTTATCTCATGTAGCTTTCCTTCTGTCCATCCATCCATCCACCCACCCACCCACCCACCCATCCATCATCCATTCCATTTACTGGTCTACCTACTCTTGTCCGTCTCTATTACTTACCTCATATATGTTTCCATCTACACGTCCGTCCATCCATCCATCTATTCATCATCCATTTCATCTTTTGATCTATATACCCTTGTCTCTCTCATCTCTCTCATCAATCTATCCATCCATCCATCCATCCATCCACCCATCCATTCATTCATCATCCATTCCATCTCCTGTTTTATCTATTCTTGTCTCTTATCTCATGTATCCTTCCATCGACACATCTGCCCATCTGTCCATCCACCCTTCCATCCATCCACTCCACCCACTGGTCTACCTACTCTTGCCCGTCTCTATTACTTACCTCATGTACGTTTCCGTCTACACATCTGTCCGTCCGTCCGTCCGCCCATCCATCCATATATTTATCATCCATTTCATCCTTTGATCTATATATCCTTGTCTCCATCACCTATCTCATCAATCTTTCCATCCATCCATTCATCATCCATACCACCTCCTGTTTTATCGACCCTTGTCTGTCTCTTACGTATCTCATGTATGTTTCTATCTGTCCATCCATCCATGAATGCATCCATCCATCATCCATTCCATCTGCTGGCCTGTTGGGAGCCATTAGAGATATTGGCTTAGACAAAGCCATCTTAAAAACTATAAGTTTCTGGTTCCTCCAAAAACTCCTAATTACCAGAAACCACCTGTGTCTTGCAAATTGGCCAGCAGTTAAAGATAAACTACCCTCACACAGCCGCTAAATCACATATCTCCACTGATAAGCACACAGCCATCCAGAGCCTGCTAAATCACACATCTCCGCTAATAAGCACAGCCATCCTAAATCACTAGTAATAGGTTACTGCCCATAGACCCCTTTACCCACCCCCCTTCCCTAAAACAGTATATATCCTGCCGCTGTGAGAATAAAGTTTGAGGCTTGATCAGAACTTGTCTTGCCTCCATTCTCTCGTGTCCCTTGTTTGTTTCATTCTCCTAGGGTGTCTCTTCGTTCCCACGTTGTTGTCCCGCGGGTCGGGGCAGTCTGGCGCCCAACGTGGCAACCTGGGGACCCCCTGCGAGAACGTCTGCTTGAAGCGCCTGGCCAGGCACCCCATAGAGTCGCCGCGCAGTATTGACTCGTGAGTGAAGACTCGGCATCTTGATCGCCACGGTTTCACCCGCCCGTGAGACAGATCGTTGTGAAGGTAAGCAGACGAAACTTTTCAAACAAGAATTTCAAAATACCTCTTGAGAGCCTTCACCCCCTTTGGCTGGCCTTTTTAGTTTTCTTGATCTCCCTCCAGTCCACTAATAAGCACTTCACCTCGCCGTTCGGGGAAGAGTGAAGGGTACCCGACACCGGCAGTGAAAACTCTGAATCACTGGGAAAAGTAATTTTTCTCTGGCCCGACCTGTGTCACCCTCTCTGGCAAACTCTGAGCTCGCTATGTCTTAGTGGTTGCTATCCTGGTATGGGGCTTATACATCCCGACCTATGACACGCGAGCAGAGGCCATAAGGTGAAAGGAGAGCGGTTACATAAGGATCACCAGAGATTTAAGAAATTCCCAGCTGACCTGGCACGGGGTTTATACGTCCCAGAGGCTTACGTGGAGGAGGAAATCTTGAGAACTATCCAGCCAAAATAATGGGCAACTCATTGAACTCTCATGAGGTATTTCTAGATGGGCTCAGGGAGTCCCTCAGGACACGGGGAGTAAGGGTTAAGAGAAAGATTTAAGAATTTCTCAGAGGGCTCAGGGAGTCCCTCAAGGCTCGAGGATTTCGGGTTAAAAAGAAAGATTTAAAGAATTTTTTCACTTTCGTCACTAACCTTTGCTCATGGTTTATTATAGACTTTTGATTTGCATGTTTAAAGTGTTAAAATTTTAGAAGGTAATCTTTTATAGTTTTGCATGTTGTTATAGAACATAACCCTTGGTTTCTTGAAAAAGGTACATTAAATCTTAAAAGTTTGCCAAAAAAGTTAATCAGAACTTGCCAAAAATTGTTTCCCCTTGTGGAACACGGCATTTCATTTCCTAGAGGCTTTAGGAGAGGTCAAGGAGGATAGATCTCCTCCCCCTTGCACCCTCCGCTCCTTAAGAGGAGCAGAAAGAAAAAAAAAAATGGGAGAAATGGCCTTCATGGCTCCCTCCACCTCCCTGTCCTAATCCTGAAATGTTTAATTTGCCGTTTATAGAATCACCTGTGCAAAAAGGCCAAATTATAAAGAAATTGGAATATTAAAAGGTACTCCTTAAAATCAGGCTGAAAAAATAGTGCCATGGTCATCTTAATGTGTTTTCTTAACTTAATTTGTATTTGGAATCTAAAATCTGTAATAAGAAATGAAACCCCGCTGTTGAATCCCCCTCTGGTGTGGAGAGATTCAAAGGTGGCAAGAGAGAGCAGAGTTACAAGCTCTCCCGCAATGAGATTACTTAATGTTTTATTTAAAAATTACCGGAGAACATCTTATGACAACCAAACCTTGACTAAGATAACTTTGGGTGCTAGCCGTGACTTTAGAAAGCAAAATAGGAAAAAATTTAAAATGTCTTTTTCTATAAGCATGACTTTGGGGAAAAATACGCCATCTGAGTCATTTGCTAAAACTTCCCCCAAAGCAGGATGTGGGGGAAGGGAAGAAGGAACACGTGGCGATCCAGTGTGGACGCCCCCTCCCCAAGTATTCTAAAATTAAAGTCCTTCTTGTAACTGAAAAGCTTTTACAAATTTAAAAATGCATCCGGGATTTCTGTGCACATGTAAAGGGAAAAGGCCAGTTTAAAAACTAGTGCGCATAGTTTTGAGCTGAACTTGACCTTTTGCTGAGTACAGAATGAAAACCCGAGACTGTTTTGGTCTTAAAAATGGCAAAGATGAACCTGAGAAAGAAATGCAGATAGGTTTCCCAAGGCGATTTAAAGTAGCTCTTTTGAAATTTCCCGCCCTAAGGCAAGTACCACCAGGAAGTTGATAGTCAAGTTTACATAAGAATAGCTATGGCTGGAAACTTAAAACTTTTAAGTTCAAATCATCTAAAGGTATTGAAATTTATAATACTGAAATGTTACTCTGAGTATGCCTAGTATGAAGTCTAGATGATAGAAGTTAATCTATTAATTGAAAATGCCTTATATTTTGTTTGAAATATATCCTTAAATGTAAAAGTATTGATTTGAAGAATGCTAAATATTTAATGCTTTAAATTTAATTGATATCTCTTAATAATTATAAGAAGTATATAATTTTTAAATTATATGTATATTTGGTGGTCTCTCAAGTTGGATTTCAAAACTATAACTAAGGAATGACTTTGAGAAATTTCACGGGCCCTGAAATGTTTTTCAAAAGTCTATTCTCTCTTTTTAAATTTAGCTAAATTTAATATACTTGAAATCATATGGAAAGCTTTATCAAATAAAAATTAATAAATATATATTTTAAGTTTTTGCCTCTGAGAAAGGGCAAAACAAGTTATTTTGTTTAATATTTCTTAAAATACAGCAGTGAAATTTTAAGATGTAATTTGAAATAACAAAAGCTCCTCACTACTGCATTTTAAATTAGGCTGGAGGTGGGGCAGCGTTTGCACCTCGTGTATCAGACATAAAGCTTTACTGAATTTACTAATCCTTGTAAGCAATTGAATCCTAGTAAAGTAAAATTCTTCTAAAAAAGTTACTGAAGGCTTCCCATTATTCTGTATATGCAAATAAGCCAAAGGGGATACTCTTTAAAAATATAATTGCTAACATTTACAGATTGTTGTTAAAATACTAAATCTGACAATAGTTAGTCACCATAAATGAAAAATCACTTGAAATATATAGCTTTGCGACAGTATTTGTTAAAATCTCAAAAGGCAACCATGTTCCTTACATTTGTTGCTTGTGTGAGAAAGAAAACTGTCTAGAAGGAAATAAAAAGAGGTTTCCTTCAGATGTCTAACTAAAATTAAAAATCAATATATTGGGCCTCATAAGCTAAATTAAATAATTTGTGTTTTGCCTCCTTAAACAAAGATTATGTAAATTTACTTAAAGACTAATACCAGAAATTTAATTAATGTCATTTACTGTCCATAACTTAGGACAAGTAAAGTTAAAAGAATAAATGTTATTTCAAACTGACTTAAAATTGGCAAATTGGGCTAAGTGGATATTCAGGGGAACTTAGCAGTCACCTATTAAAAGATAAACTTTTACAATTTTTATATAAGACCTCCATCATTATACCAAAAAAACACTAAGCAGGAACCAATTCCTGGAGCTTTAACTGTTTTTACTGATGGGTCATCAAATGGGAAAGACCAGTCATACTGACCAGTAAGTAGAATTGAAACTGCCCAGTGACCAAAGTCTGTTCTTACTATTTAAGCAAGTTCAACAGATTGTACAGCAGAGAAAATACCCTTTTTATATCACCCATATCAGGGCTCACAGTGTATTACCTGGCCCATTAACTAAGGGAGATGCACATGCTGATCAATTGGTTGCTTTATTAAAAGAGGCTTCAGAGTTTCATCAGCTTTTAAAAATCCCAACTTGAAAAACAAAAAAGGGGGATGATGGAGAAATCACCTTCGGGTAGGCTGCACCTAGCTTTAATTACTCTAAAATTTTTTCACTTGTGATGCTGATGGAAAGACACCTATGGAGCTACATTGGTGTCAGAATAAAACAAAAGAAAATGGTCTAGTTAAATGGAAGGATCCCGAATCTGGTTTATGGAAGGGACCTGACCCATTATTAACCTTTGGCAGAGGCTATGCTTGTATATTCCCAGAGAATTTTTCCAAACCCGTATGGATTCCTGCTAGAAATATTAAACTGCATCAGGAATCTAGCCAGACTGAAGATCTTGCGCCTGGAGCCATAACATGTAGCTGTAAACAATCAACTACCTCAGCCACAGAGAGCAGCGACTCCAAGCAGTCCACTGAAGATGAGGAGCAGGAGGAAGACAAACCAGACAACCAACAGCCCAGAGACCACCTGGGGCATGGTAAAGTGAAGTATGTTAACAATTAATTCAGGTAAAGACTGTAATTCAGATAACATGCCTAAGTTTTACCTAGGTTACCCAAGGACTCTAGATAATGTGTTTACCCAAAACTGTAGTTTGGATGGCATGCTGTCTCTGTTTCTGTAAATTGCTTTTTTTTGCTAACTAGGTTCCTCATTCCAAACCTTGAGTTTAAAATTAAATTGTCATGACCTAGAGCAAAGAATATTCTTACATGGTATTATTCTACAAAGTTTCATTAATAATTTTTGATGCTTTACAACAGTATATTGTGCATTTATCCCAAACAAACTTACAAATTAACATTTACTTTGGATATTTTGAGAATGTGAAGGGATTTATCCCCTCCTGGGGAAGGCACTTAAGCATTCTGTATTGACCTCTCTTGACCTTTTTTTAGGTACAGCATTACACACCTATAATAAATTATCTAACCAGCTAATTGATGATGTCCAAGCTCTCTCAGGCACTATCAATGATCTCCAAGATCAGATAGATTCCTTAGCTGAAGTAGTACTACAAAATAGAAGAGGGTTAGATTTGCTCACAGCAGAACAGGGAGGAATATGCTTAGCCCTACAGGAATGCTGCTGCTTCTATGCCAACAAATCCGGGATCGTCCGAGACAAGATAAAGAAGTTACAAGAAGATCTAGTGAAGAGACGGAGAAAATTATTCGAGAACCCCCTTTGGAGCGGACTGAACGGACTCCTGCCCTACCTGCTTCCTGTTCTCGGCCCCCTTATAAGCCTTCTCCTAATCCTAGCTTTCGGCCCCTGGGCTTTTAGGAAATTAACAGACTTGTAAAACAGCAGGTTGATAGCGTCCTGGCCAAACCCATTCAGGTACACTACCATCGTCTAGCCATGTTAGACCGTGAATGTGATTATAATGAATGCCAAAACTCCCTCCCTGCGGGGACAGCATGACGCCAGAGGGATGCTTGCCTACTCCCCATAGAAGGAGAAAGGCATGGGCACCGACCTGGGTGCACGGCAAAGCACTGCAAGGGAAGGTCACAAAATTTTCGACCGTCTCTGGATTTCCCTGTGAGCACACCTGGTTTGCATAGAGGTTGGTATCCATACATAACTATCGGCTCTGCCTCTCCTCCCCAAAAGATACCAAGAGCCACTGACGGTGGGATCCCACCATCCCACGGGAGGAACCAGGTCCCTACTCCCCCAGTCGGTTAAAGCCCACCCTTAAATAAAGAAAAAGGGAGGAATTGTTGGGAGCCATTAGAGATATTGGCTTAGACAAAGCCATCTTAAAAACTATAAGTTTCTGGTTCCTCCAAAAACTCCTAATTACCAGAAACCACCTGTGTCTTGCAAATTGGCCAGCAGTTAAAGATAAACTACCCTCACACAGCCGCTAAATCACATATCTCCACTGATAAGCACACAGCCATCCAGAGCCTGCTAAATCACACATCTCCGCTAATAAGCACAGCCATCCTAAATCACTAGTAATAGGTTACTGCCCATAGACCCCTTTACCCACCCCCCTTCCCTAAAACAGTATATATCCTGCCGCTGTGAGAATAAAGTTTGAGGCTTGATCAGAACTTGTCTTGCCTCCATTCTCTCGTGTCCCTTGTTTGTTTCATTCTCCTAGGGTGTCTCTTCGTTCCCACGTTGTTGTCCCGCGGGTCGGGGCACTGGCCTACCTACTCTTGTCTGTCTCTATTACTTATTTCATCAATCTTTCCATCTACCTGTCCGTCCATCCATCCATCCTTCCATCCAGCTGTCCATCCGTCATCCATTTCATCTACTGATTTATATATCCTTGTCTCTATCTCATCTATCTTTCCATCTACCCATCCATCCATCTGTCCATCCATCTTTCTGAGTGCCTATCGTTATCTATCATCTATCTCCATCCATCCATCCATCCATCCATCCATCCATCCATCCATCCACCCATTGATCCGTCATCCATTTCATCTACTGATTTACATATCCTTGTCTCTATCTCATCTACCTTTCCATCTACCCACCCATCCATCTGTCCATCCATCTTTCTGAGTGCCTATCGTTATCCATCTATCTGTATCTATCCATGTGTCCATCCATCCATCCATCATCCATTTCATCTACTGATTTATATATTCTTGTCTCTAACTCATCTACCTTTCCATCTACCCATCCATCCATCTGTCCATCCATCTTTCTGAGTGCCTATCGTTATCTATCTATCTGTATCTATCCATGCGTCCATCCATCCATCCATCATCCATTTCATCTACTGATTTATATATCCTTGTCTGTTTCATCTATCTTTCCATCTACCCATACATCCATCTGAGCGCCTATCATTATCTATCTATCATCTATCTATCTATCTATCTATCTATCTATCTATCTATCTATCTATCTATCATCTATCTCCATTCATCCATCCATCCATCCACCCACCTATCCATCTATCTCCCATCTATCCATCTATTCATCCATGCATCCACATAACCACACACATGTACACATTCACATATTAGAACCGAAATGGTGTCTCCCCTACTTGAGCTGTGCCCACTGTATCAGCAACATCAACCCTACGAAAGCTGCTCTCCTACCCCACCGCACCCCACCCCCGACCCTTCCCCTCAACCCGCCCAGGTCCCGGCCTCCCGTCCGCCGCGGCCCACACCTATCAGAGCCGTGGCGTAGCCTTGGTCCTTCAGAAGTCTGGCGAACGTGACCTCAGTGTTGGGAAGTCCCCCCGAGGAGGCCGAGAAGAGGAAAACGCCGATTCGCGTCTGAGACGCCATTCCTGGGGCAGGAGAAACCAGCCGTTAGGATGGGGGGCGGGGGGCGACCCTGACGACAGAGGCTGGGAGGGTGCCCCGAGGAGAGGAGAGGAGAGGAGAGGACGGGCCAGGGACCCAGCCAGGGGGCTACCTGATCGGACGGGGTACCGGCCGGTCATGAAGGCTGCCCGACTCGGGGTGCACAGGGGCGAGGCCGCCAGGTGCTGCGTGAGTTTCACTCCCTCTTCGGCCAACCTGTCGATGTTGGGGGTCCTGGGACACAAGAGCCACGTTACTATTCGCGATGCCTTTGGAACGCCGCGCCCTCCACGCCCGCCCAGCTGGCGTGGCTCCGCGGTCGAGCATCGACCTATGGCCGGAAGGGTCCCGGGTTCGATTCCCGGTCAAGGGCATGTGCCCGGGTTGCAGGCTCCATCCCCGGCAGGGGGCGTGCAGGAGGAAGCCGGTCCATGATTCTCTCTCATCGTGGATGTTTTTCTCTCTCTCTCTCCCCCTCTCCCTTCCTCTCTGGAATCAAAGAAAAGAACAGAACCAGATGTGGGCCCAACGGACCCGGACTGGCTTGTTCAGGGGCCCCACAGGCCCACAGAAGCTGACGTGTGGGTTCGTGTCGGATTTCACGGGGACTCCGCAGTCTCCTAGACATGAGAGCGTCTGACTTGACAACCCTTTAGCGGAGACAGAGGCGCGGATGGTCCTGGTTTATTTACTCGTTTATTTGTTTATTGTCACCCCCACCCAAGGATACGTCCCCATCGGTTTCCAGAGAGAGTGGAAGGGAGAGGGAAAGACAGAGAGAGAATATCCATCTGAGAGAGACGCATCGATGGGTTACTTCCTGCACGTGCCCCCTGACCAGGCCCCGGGCCGGGGAGGAGCCCGCAGCCCGGGCACATGCCCTTGACTGGAATCGAACCCGGACCCTTCGGTCCGCAGCCCGGCGCTCTATCCACTGAGCCACACCAGCCAGGGCGTCAGCCCTGGTTGACAACACAGGAGCGAGTCTGGAAAATGAGCTGGGGGCCCGGCCGGCGTGGCTCGGGGGTCGAGCGAGGGCTGACCTATGAACCAAGAGGTCACGGCTCGATTCCGGTGCCGGCTCGATCCCCAGTGTGGGGCGCGCAGGAGGCAGCCGAGCCACGATTCTCTCGTCGTTGGGTCTCTCTCTCCCTCCCTCTCCCGTCCTCTCTGAAATCAGTAAGAAATATGTTTAAAAAAATAAAAGGACATGAGCCACTGTGAGGAGGGGGAGGGAGACGCTCCAGGCCTTACCCCGTCCCCAGCCACGGCCCCCAGTTACCTCCGTGCCCCCAAAGAGAAAACGTGGAGACGCTTCGCGCTGCTCTTCCAACCAGAGTGGAGAGGACGCCCCTAACCAGTCCGCCCAGCCTCGGTGTGTCCCACGCACGACACTGCCACGCCTGCTTCCTAACGCCCGTATCTGCACGGATCCACGTGCGGTCATGCGGGATCCACACGTGGTCACACGGGATCCACGCGCAGCCACACGGGGGATCCACGCGCAGTCACACGGAAATCTCACACACGGGGGATCCACATGCAGTCACACGGGATCCATGCAGTCATGCGGGGGATCCACGTGCAGTCACACGGGATCCACACACAGTCACACGGGATCCACGCACAGTCACACGGGGATGCACGCACAGTCACGTGGGAATCATGCAGTCACACGGGGGTCCACGTGCAGTCACACGGGATCCATGCAGTCACACGGGGGGTCCACGTGCAGTCACACGGGATCCACAGTCACACGGGATCCACACACAGTCACATGGGGATGCACACACAGTCACACGGGACCCACGCACAGTCACACGGGGGATCCATTTGCACACGGGATCCACACACAGTCACATGGGATCCACACACAGTCACATGGGGATGCACACAGTCACACGGGACCCACACACAGTCACACGGGATCCATGCGTAGACACACGGGATCCACGCGCAGCCACACGGCGTGCCACGGGTGGGCTTTCAGCGTTTCCACGCGCTCTGTGCTCCCCTAGCATGTGTCTGTCACCGGAACGACAGCCTCGACACGCGCCCTACCTGAGGGTCTTGTTCCCGTAGCAGCCGGGGTCACCGATGCCCAGGTCGTCCGCCACGATCAGGACAAAGTTGGGCCTGGAGGGCGCACGGCTCTGGGCCTCCCACAGGCCCAGCAGCAGGAGCAGCAGGCGCCTCATCGTCCTGCAACGTGAAGGAGAGGAGCCGTGAGGCACGCGGCCGGGGCGGGACCCTTCGCCGGCCGATCCCGGACCGTCCTCCCCGCCCTCCCAGGTTGCAGAGAGGACACCGGCCACTGCGACGGCGACGGCGAAGGCGTGCATCCTCTCCCCCCCTCCCCCACCCCCCACGTCTGTTTCCGAGCAAATCCTCTCCTCCTCCTCGGACAGCGGGGCCGCCGAGGGCACACCCTGGGCCAGAACGCGGGTTCGGATGAGAGGAACGGAGACAGGGCCGGCCGCCTCCCGCCGTCTCGCGATGGAAGGGGGGCCCAGCCATTAGCTAAACGTTCTCCGCGGGGACCCCGGGGGGACAAGTGTGTCATGAGATCACGCGGCCCGTCTGGCTGGTGTGGCTCAGTGGTGGCGGTCACGGCGCAGTCCCCGGTCAAGGGCACAGGCCCGGGTTGCGGGCTCCATCCCCAGTGGGGGGCGTGCAGGAGGCGGCCGGTCCGTGATTCTCTCTCCTCGATGACGTTTCTCTCTCTCTCCCTCTCCCTCTCCCTCTCCCTTCCTCTCTGAGATCAATAAAGACATATTTAAGCCCAGGCTGGTGTGGCTCAGTGGATAGAGCATCGGCCTGCAGACTGAAGGGTCCTGGGTTCGAATCCCGGCCAAGGTCACAGGTCCGGGTTGCGGGCTCCATCCCCAGTGGGGGGCGTGCAGGAGGCAGCCGATCCGTGATTCTCTCTCATCATGGATGTTTCTCTCTCTCTTTCCCTTTCTCTCTAAAAATCAGTAAGAAGATATTAAAAAAATTACAAATTCCTCACCCTGACCAGCTGGTGTGGCTCAATGGCTGAGCGTCGACCTAGGAACCAGGAGGTCCCGGGTGCGATTCCCGGTCCAGGGCGCATGCCCGGGTTGCGGGCTCCATCCCCAGCAGGGGGCGTGCAGGAGGCAGCTGATCCGTGATTCTCTCTCATCACTGATGTCTCTCTCTCCCTCCCTCTCCCTTCCTGTCTGAAATCAATAAAAATAACGTCTGCCGCTTAAGGTGACGGATCCTCTCCACGCCCCATCCTCACCGTCAGTGGGGTCCCCTCGTGCCTGTGGGGGGAACCCTGGGAAAAACGCATCCCAAGCGCCTGTGCTTCCTGTTGAGAGGCTGGGACCAGCAGCAGAATATCGACGCCGAAATGACGCCCAGGAGGGCGAAGGCCCCTGAATCATGATGGATGGCTCTATTAGTTTCCCAGTCACCGCGGCAACGGCCGGCCATTCATTGTCCCCCAGACGGGCCTGGCGTTGGCATGAGGAGGCCTGGGGTGGGGGGGTCCCTCGAGCCCAATTAAGAACAGCGCTCGAACGTAAACGATTTTTTGTCCACGCCGCCCGGAATCCCACGGCCTGTGAATTAAATCGCCGTCTCAGGCGGCCAGACCTCACCTGCGCCCCCAGGAGTGGCTTCTGCAAGGTGTTCAGGGATGCGTTTCAAACGGCGGAAACAGAGTTCATTTATAGAGGGTGTCCCAAAATTCACGCAAGAAGTAATTTTGGTAGAAAACACAGGTTTATCATTAAAAATTGTAATTTTTTATTGATTCATAAAGGACACAGTCTAGGGTTTATGTATGGAACAGCACATCGGGTCCATGGCCTCCCCGGCTTTGCTGGCACAGACGCAAAGCCGCGGTCTTCATTGGTCTTCCTGGTCCCTGCTCCTGGGCCGTCATTGGTCCTTGGTGATGCTGATCGAATCGAAGGGATTGACATCCAAGGGCAACAGATATTAGAATCTGATTCAATAAACCAAGTCCAATCAGGCTTTTATTTTTGTTGCTGTTGTTGTTAATGCTCACACAGAATTCAAATCTTGCGTGTGCCGGGAGCCGGTCCATCCTTGCTGTTTCAAGGGACCTGGCATATATGGCATCCTGTTCTTAATATGTTTGCTCCCCATCTTAGCGCTATGTGTTTTAACCAAGGTCACCTCTCTGAGAAAGGTTGTTTCCCCAGGTAGGGATTTTCCCCTGAAGTTAGGGAGGGAATAAAACCCCTTAACTAAGTGCCAGGCGGGTAGATAATCACTTTAACTACGAACAATCATGCTTCAGCTACATAATCTTTACTCCCTGGAATGGAGATAAGAAACGCCCTAACCTTTGGAATAGAGATTGATAGGATTGGAATCAACTGGTATAAATACAGATGTAACAAGACAACAGAACACAGAACCTAGACGCAGAACCTACACAGAACCTAGAGACAGAAGAACTTCGCTGGAGAGAACATGGCAAAAGATCGTGGACAGAACCTGGCCACAGAACCTAGAGCAGGGGTGGGCAAACTTTTTGACTCGAGGGCCACAATGGGTTCTTAAACTGGACCGGAGGCCGGAACAAAAGCATGGATGGAGTGTTTGTGTGAACTAATATAAATTCAAAGTAAACATCATTACATAAAAGGGTACGGTCTTTTATTTCAATAGTTTTATTCATTTCAAACGGGCCGGATCTGGCCCGCGGGCCGTAGTTTGCCCACGGCTGACCTAGAGACAGAACCTAGCGAGAGAACATGGCAAAAGATCCTGGACAGAACCTGGCTGAAGAACCTAGAGACAGAACCTACAGAACCTGCCAATAGAACCAGGCAAGCGAACCCAACCATGCTGATCAACTGAACGCTGCCTCTGTGTCATTCCTTCTTCGCCGACTCCGTCCACACCTTTGGGGACCCCTGGACCTGCTGGGGTTGGACCCCAGCAGCGTGAATTTTGGGACACCCTTTACGAGCACCTGCCCACCCCACGAAACGCGCTCCCAGCCGTCCAACCCACGGCACGTTAACTTCGGATAAACAACACCCCTCTCCCTCCCCTTCCCCCTTAAAAAAATAAATTACATTTCGGAACGAGGCCCATCAGGCCCAAAGGCAAGACGAGACGCTATTCCGAGAAAGCCGCCGTTCCCGAAATAGACGTGCAGTGAAGGAAGGAGCGCGAGGCAAAAAGGGCATTTTCATCACCGGAGACGTAATTACATGAGCGCGTGTTCATCAGAGGAAAATTCCCACTGGACCGGCCGCCTCCTGCACGCCCCCCTTCTGGGGATGGAGCCCACAACCCGGGCTTGTGCCCTGGACCGGGAATCGAACCCTGGCCTCCTGGTTCCTAGGTCGATGGTCAACCCGTGAGCCACGCCGGCCGGGCCAGACACTGACATTTGGACGAAACCTAACATATGCCCCCAAACCATGTATTAATGTCTACATCCATCGTTTATACGTTTATAACACAAAGTATAACCCCACTCGGTAACGCGCGTTCGCAGGGAACATGACACTAGAGGGAAATGTCGTATAGATTTCTGTAAACGCAGACCTCGCTTTATTGGCGTGACGCTCCCAGCGACCATGTATGTCCTCGGCCAGTCCGTGTCCCACTAAGGCTGCCCCTCCCCCGCGAGCTGGCATTTGAAACCGCAATCCGTCTCCCCAAGTGGCTTTTCCTGTCCGATTCCCTCCCGCCGTCTGCAGGACACACCCGCTGGGCAGGCTCCCCCCGCTGTGCCTGCACCCCGACCTCGCCTGGCAAGACTCCGGCCCCATGGCCGTGGGTGCGAGCCATCGGCCGACTGCCCTTGTGAGGCGGGAAAGAGTGGAATCATTTTCCTTTCTGTCGCCCACACCTTTTATTTACAGAATACAGGCTCTGCATTTATTAAAGAAGTTTGCCCGGCCGGCCGGCGTGGCTCAGGGGTTGAGCACCGTCCTAGGAACCAGGAGGTCACAGTTCGATTCCCGGTCAAGGGCACATGCCCAGGTTGCGGGCTCGACCCCCAATAGGGGGCATGCGGGAGGCAGCCGATCCGTGATTCTCTCTCATCATGGATGTTTCTTTCTCTCTCTCCCTCTCTGAAACCAATAAAAAAACACACATATATATATATATGCCTAAGTGACCATCCGACCGGTAGCTATGACGCGCACTGACCACCAGGGGGCAGACGCTCAACGCACAGGCCTGGAAACATGGAACAGACTGATGGATCTCAGAGGGAAGAGGGGAGGGGGGAGGGCGGGAAGAGATTAACCAAAGATCTTCTATGCCAGCGGTTCTCAACCTGTGGGTCACGACCCCTTTGGGGGTCGAACGACCCTTTCACTGGGGTCGCCTAAGACCATCCTGCATATCAGATATTTCCATGATGATTCATAACAGTAGCAACATGACAGTGATGAAGCAGCAACAAAAATAATTTTATGGTTGGGTCACAACATGAGGAACTGTATTAAAGGGCCGGAAGGTTGAGAACCACTGTTATATGCATACTAGAGGTCCGGTGCACGGATTCGTGCACCAGCGGGGTCCCTCGGCCTGGCCTGCAAGGATCGGGCCGAAACCGGCTCTCCGACATCCCCCAAGGGGTCCCGGATTGTGAGAGGGTGCAGGCCAGGCCGAGGGACCCCAGCAGTACAGGAATCTGTGCACCTGCTTCTAGTATCCTATATAATAAAAGCCTAATATGCTAAGTGTCTAGTTGTCCATTCAACCAATCAAAGCAGAATATGCTAATGTATGCTAAGGCCGCTCAACCGCTTGCTATGACGTGCACTGACCACCAGGGGGCAGATAGTCGACCAGTCGACCAGTCGCTATGACGTGCACTGACCACCAGGGGGCAGACAGTCGACCGGTCAACCAGTCACTATGACGCGCACTGACCACCAGGGGGCAGACACTCTGGTAGGTGAGCTTGCTGCTGGGGTCCGGCCGATCAGGACTGAGCGAGACGGGCCGGACACGCCCTGGAGCCCTCCTGCAGTCCCTCCCCAGCCCCCATCTTGCACCAGTGGGGTCCCTCGGCCTGGCCTGCATCCTCTCGCAATCCGGGCTGAGGGACTCCCTCTGAGCGCACAAATTTCGTGCACCCGGCCTCTAGTATTTTATAAAAAGAAGAAGAAGAAAGAAAGGAAATAGACTTTAAGAAATCAGCTTGGAGGCCCTTTGTCGGACGCTTGCTA